TCAAAGGACCAAATTGAATTCCCAAAAATTGTGGGTTTAAAAGAACCCCAGAGTAGCGGTCAAGATGAAGAGCTCTAACAGCAATGTGCCATAAAAAGCTCCGGTGGGTGCAGCGAGGTGTGTAACAGTATGAAATTAGTACAGTTTTTGAGGGAAGCAGTAGGGCAGCAGAATAGTCATCGAATTAAGCGATGCTCGTACTCATTCAGAGATATGTGCCCAACCAATGGTAGCCAAATACACAGCAGCAAGAAGGACAAGGTCACCAACAAACGACACAACAAAAAACAGCTGATTCGTAGTGGGAAATGAGGGATCATTTTTTATTAACATCGCTTTGTTCTTTTCATTTTACTACCTTGAACCTCTTGAAAATAATCAAACTCTACGTCTGGCTGCTATTGAGCGGTATCTAAGAGTTTTTGAGTTTTTATTACTGTGACCATACAAGAAAGTAAAACCGATTGGTAGGGGTGTTGCTCGCTTTACTGAAACGGTAGATGCCGCGTACCAGTGAGTGGTATCCGGGAAAAAATGGATTATCATTCAGGTCGGTTTAGGACAGATGACACACATACACCGAAAAGGCTGATAGTAAAGATTTGCATCATACGACATGACAAGACAGTGCGTAAGGTTTGGGGATATGCCGGCGCCACTGCAAACATGACTATTCAGACGGTCTTGGCAACACTTTCCTGCATTTCTTTCATTCCTCCAACAATTTCCTTAATTTAAAGTAACAATTGAAAAATAGCTGAGTGCTCTAAAGATTTTCCCATTTTTTGCTCAAACTTTTTTGTGCAAAATTTAATACGGTGCACGGGTATTCCTAAAAATTTCATGCCAGATATCGCACCTTCATCAGCCCTCCAGACAGATCCAATTGATCAAAGGATGGAAATGGGGATTAAGCACCTCCTCTTCGTAAACAATCTTGTGCGAAATCCTTTCATAAGTTTCCGAATTGCCGTCCCGCAACCTTCCCTATTCGGATGCTCTGAAACAACCATACTTCTTGCTGCAATGCGTCTCAAACGCTCTACTGCTTCCCGCAAATCCATCTTGCATAAAATCATAGTTTTTCGGTCACAATTCAACACTCCTTACGCAGAAGCACATCGACCTCTGTGACACACATGAATGCTATTGCCGTCTTCTTCAAAACGTGTGCTAACGGGGGGAGAAGGAGG